CCTCGCCCCTCTCGCCTCACCCCTCTCCCCTTCCTCCCTCGTTTTTTCCCTCTTCCTCCCTCCCTCCCTTTCATCCACATTTAATCACAGTCATCTAAAATGCTTAAGTAGCTCATAATATTACTGCTAGCAAGGGTAGAAAGCAGAGGCTAATGTTGAGGGACAGTCTAGAATTGCGGGTGTTGGGGTGCCCAAGAGCCCTAGCAGGGAGTGGCCAGATGACTCTGATTGTGGGGGTGGGGCCAAGCACCAGTAGTTGGCAAAGCCCCCAGGTGACTCTAATGAGCAGCCAAGGGTGAGTGCCACTGTTCTAGAGCAATCGGTCAGCTGGTGGGGGAATGGCACCCAGCGCAGTGTCTGAGAGAGAAAGGTCCTGTGATTTCACGAGGACAAGACAGGATTACTGGAGGCTAATGGGGGGTCCCTCGGTGGAGAAAGCCCTCTGTGTGGCTGGTGGCAACATAACACACCATTCAAAACAGGGACAGGGGAGAGCAACGAGCGCATGTCACTGTTTTGGTTTGATGTGCAAGACCTTTGGCCAAGAGCAGTTCTGGATGGAGAACTGCGATGAAAATACTAGCTAAAATTATTAAGCAGTTAACAGTATCAGGAACGATGTTGAGCAGTTTCACATTTTACCATAAGCCTTGCCACAGCTCTGTAACTAGGTAGGTGTACAGATGAGGAAACCAAGGCACAGAGGAGCTAAACAGCTTCCCTAAGGTCACAGTGAGTGGCAGAGTCATGGTGTGAACCTAGCGGACTCACTCCTGGGTCTGTGCTCTTAAGCACTCGTCCCTGCAGCGTCCCAAGTGCTCAGAGTGGGTTAGAGAGAAGACTGTGGCCGTGCTATAGGCTAGACAGAGAAGCTGGACGTGGGCGTGAGCAGGAGGGCTCAGTTAAGCCATCTCAGAGCAGACGTCAGTGGTGGACTGCAGGGGGCTGAGCATGCCCAGGACACGCGCCCTACCTGCCCTGTCCTTGTGACAGGTGCCACAGGAAAACGAGGCGATTGCTCTGGGACAGGTCTAATTGATTTTCCCCCACATCCCCAGAAGGGAGGGATGGGTCGTAGCTGCTCTGACACCTGAGCTTCTCATTACTTTTTCAGTGGAATAGCAAGGACGGATTTGTGCCAGGCACCGTTCCCCTCCTGAGTGCCTAGTTCAGTGAAAAATAGACTAGAAGCTAAGCCAGCTTGTCTGTGTCCTGTTCCCTTTCCTGCACTATATGGTCGTCTAGCAGCCTGAGAGGCACCCAAGCAATGGTCCTGGCAGCTGGGCTCCAGCTGTTTGTGACAGACAGCTGTGATGGGGCTGCGGGGGAGTGGGACTCCTCTCCCCCGGGACTTCTGAAGTGCCTCTGAATGTGTGTTTATTTTGCAGGAAATGCTGCTTGGGCAATGGCCACTTCCAAACCTGATATTTTGATTATACTTTTGCAGAAATTAATGGAGGAAGGAAATGTGATGTACAAAGTAAGTGGTATCGTCCTTTTCCACACTGTTGTAACCAACTCGAAGAAGCCTCTTAGTTTGGTAGCTAAAGGCCATAGCTGTGCTACTGCACAGAACACAGATCCAAGAGATGCTAACCTGGCCTCATGCCCAGGATTTGTTTAATATCCTAAAGGTAGAAAGCACTTCTCTTTGTGTCTGAGAACCATTATTTCTGAACTAATTCTGGAGGCTGCAGCATGAAGCTGTGGCACGAAGCAGAGTCACCTCTAGGTCAGTTGGCACATCTACAGGAGGTTCCTTAGCCTTTCACATTGCCCCAGAGTTCAGAGCACAGACTGGCACAGTCACAGAAATATGGGAAAGGAACACGCAGGAGACATTTCCAGAAGAAAAGAATCTTTTAGTCTCTCAGGCCTCGACTATGTAATTTTTAATATCTATGAACTTCTGGAATTTGAGACTGTTTCTAAAGAGATTTTTAATATAGTCAAGTTAATATATAATACTTAGCTATTCAGGAGACTGAATTTTTTTCCATTTTCCCTGGAAAATGGAAACATGATTTATAGATTATAGATTTTTATAGACTAATAAATTTGACTTTACATTTTCCAAAATAAGGTATCAGTGTAGAACAGAGATCAGCAAACTTTTTCTGTAGAGGGCCAGATAGTAAATATTTTAGGCTTTGCAGACTGTGCAGTCTCTGTGGGTTGCAACTATCCAGCTCTGCTGCGGTGGTACAAAAGCAGCCACAGATAATACAGAGCAAATGAGCGTGGCTGTGTCCCAATAAAACTTTATTTATAAACACAGGTGGCAAACCAGATTTGGCCTTACAAGCTGTAGTTTGCCGATCCTTGGTTTAGATAGATGGGTAGCTATTTACATAGATCGCTATTCTTTCCAGATCTATGATTAGATAGAATTAAAAGATTAAGGAAACAACCACTAGATTATGACCATCTTCATCCTTTTTACTATTAGGCAGCTATGTTGTAGGTTTTTTCCTTTTCATTTTTTTTAATACTAACAAATAAATAGGCATATAGCATGACCCAGCAGGGTTCCTGGCTTGAAATCAGTTTGGAATTGAGTTGAGAGAGTGTACTGTTGTGGCTTTGAAGTGGTTTTAGTATGGATCTTGGTAGGCAATTATGTCAGAAATATCAAGCTATTTTCAACAGGCTTTATACCTGCTGTGTGAAGGGAGTGACTGAGCAAATGGATTTCTTTAGCCTTGAAAATGATGTGTGGTGCTGTTCTGATTTTTAAAGCCTGTTCCTCTTAAAGGAAAAATTATTATTCTGCATCAAGCTCTAGGTTTATCCACAAGACTCTACTTGCCTTAGGAACTACATCACTTTTTCATCTGATTTCTATTACAATTGGTTTAAAATATCTTTAGATGAGAGAATTCTTGAATAATTTTCAAAAATATGTAACAGACAAGGTAATCTAGTACCTTATGATTTGTAGTTATCAGTTTGGCAGTTTGCAAGCACCTTATTGTAAAACCATCCTCTCCCTTGCTGTGTGTGGACCATGTTGCTGATCCTGTAAGGACAGTGAAGCCCGAGCGTGTTCAGACCCATTCATGCCCTAGTTCCTGCCCTGGCACTTAACTCATTTCAATGTGCTAGGATGGTTTTGCGTGGAGGGACAACCACCCCAGGGTCTGTAGGGTATGGAAGCGTATTCATCTTACAGCATCTGAAAAAGGATAAATTTCTGTGATTTTTGAATCCTAGAAAGGGAAGATGAAAGAGGCAGCCCAGAGGTACCAGTATGCCTTAAGGAAGTTTCCTCGAGAAGGATTTGGAGAGGACATGAGACCATTCAGTGAACTAAGAGTTTCCCTCTATCTCAATTTGTCTCGATGCCGAAGAAAAACAAATGTAAGCTGAGCCCTGTTATTCTGTTCCAGTCCTTTAGCAGTAGAACTTTTGCCCAGTGGTGAAGGCCAGCCCTTCCATGGACCGAATCATGGAACCTCCTATCTGATCTGTTTGCGCATTTATCTGAACGCGGCATATGGGAAGCTGCTTCTTCTGGATGACTATCATTAGATCTCTGTCACTACCCACCTCTCAAGCTGCTGAAGGAATGCACTTGGGTTTAGTTTCCTCAGCTCCAATGCCAAAAAGCAAATGCAGTGCTCCTCTACCCCTTCCCCACGGGGATTTTGCCAGCATTGTCACGAGTTGCTCATCCCCAGGTTCAGAAGGAAAGTCCCACCCAAATGTCTGTTACAGTCTGCCTGTTAGTAACTAGGTAATTTGTAATTAGTAGTGGTTAACTCATAACTTACAGATTTGTTTCAGGACTTCTTCCTACTTTTTTGTTAACTTCATTCTCCCCTCCCCAAAACTATTGGTCTGCCCATGTCTGTGCCCTGCCTGCTGGAGTGGACACAGGGTCCACGTCCTCTGAGGCTGACCGTGCACTGCTGTGCTGGGCCCCCTCGCCCCCGGTACACTGCTTCCACCACTGTTCTCTCTCTCCCCTGAATCATCGATTGCTGCCTTTCGTCTGTGCCCTGCCTGCTGGAGTGGACACAGGGTCCACGTCCTCTGAGGCTGACCGTGCACTGCTGTGCTGGGCCCCCTCACCCCCGGTACACTGCTTCCACCACTGTTCTCTCTCTCCCCTGAATCATCGATTGCTGCCTTTCTACTGGATTCTTCTCTTAAGAATATTAATAAGCTGTAATTATCTCCTAACTTGAAAACAAAACAGAATAAACAGAAAAACTTGCCTTGCCCTTCATCCCTCTCTAATTATGTCCCAATGCTCTGTTACCCTTTATAACAAAACTCCTATGAAACAGTTGCCTATGATCACGTTTCAGTGCTGCTTTTGACTCATTATTTATTTACTGACACCAGGACTTTGGCATGGCAGAAGAATTTGCTTCCAAGGCTCTCGAATTGAAACCCAAGTCCTATGAAGCCTTTTATGCCAGGGCAAGAGCAAAGAGGAATAGCAGGTACTGTCTGGGGTTAACTACATGATTAGAAAAGACTTATTTTCTACGGGCTTAAACCTGCTAGTTAAATTTGGGAAGGTTTTGCTTCATAAGGGTTACTCAAATGCCTCTTATTCTTTTTAATAATAAATTAGCTTCCAAGAGGCATGGTAGTGCATATTATTAGCAATGGCTAAACTTTTATTTTGTCCTGATATGTCAACAACTATTCCTCCCCACCCCTAGCTGAGACTCACTGCAACATAAAGTTCGTTTATTCCATATTTCAGTGAAACTGCCAACTAGGGGCATTAAGAGGCAGGAAAGGGGAAGGACTGTACGAGTCTTTAGTTAGAGGTGGGTACAGTGAAGTGATGATGAAGCTAATTTTAAAAGGATTCTGGTGCCCACAGATTCATGCCTACCCTCATTCCTAGACCAGTGGTCTTTACCGAGAGAGCAGGGCCCTGGGATCACACAGATCTGGGTTAGGATTCAGCACTGCCAGCTAGCTGAGTAACTGGTTTAGTTAAGTGGATCCTGACCACCACAGTAATTGTTCAAAACTCATTCAGCTGCCTTCTCTGTCCTTGGGGGGCACAGCTATTTTATGACCAGTTACATGTAGAGCATGTTCAAACATGGCTTGTAATCACATCTTCTGTTCTCATATAAAGGCAGTTTGTGGCAGCTCTGGCTGACTTGCAGGAGGCTGTGAAGCTCTGTCCCACCAATCAGGAAATCAGGAGGCTTCTTGCCCGCGTGGAAGAGGAATGCAAGCAGCTCCAGAGGAGCCAACAGCAAAAGCAGCAGTGCCCGCCACCAGCTCCACCCAACGACTCGGATAATGAGGAGGACGCCCTGAGCCCTGCATTAAACGACCACTTTCATCTTGATGAGGCTGAAGAGGAAGAAACTTCTCCACAGGAAGAATCCGTTTCCCCGACTCCCAGGTCCCAGCCATCCTCCTCTGTCCCTTCCCTGTACATCCGAAACCTTCAAGAAGGGCTGCAGTCCAAAGGGAGGCCGGCATCGCCACAGAGTAAGGCAGGAATCAGCAAGCCCCTGAGGGAGCCTGTAGCTCAGCCGGGGCTGCTCATGCAGCCCACCAAGCAGGCACAGATAGTGAAAACCAGCCAACATCTGGGTTCCGGACAGTCTGGCGTGAGAAACAGTAGCACAAAAATTCAGGTCTCTTCTCAGAATCCTCCCCCAAGTCCCATGCCAGGCAGAATTCCTATAGTTACTGCTGGGAGCAGAAACCAGCACTTAGAGGGGGCAGGTACTTTCACTCTAGGAGCCGGTTGTGGCCATTCTGGGGATCGGCTGGGCCCCAGCCACAGTGCCCACCTGCAGCACAGTGAGGGTGGCACTGCATATCCCCTACCAAGCAAGATAAAAACTGCAGAGCGGCTTTTGTCTCACGCCTCTGTGGCTCTGGACGTGGCCCCTCCAAACCAAGGCGGGCCGGTGAGCTGCAGTGATGTGCGACACCCAGCTTCCCTCACCAGCTCAGGCTCTTCTGATTCTCCATCTAGCAGCATAAAGATGTCAAGTTCAACCAGTAGTTTGACTTCAAGCAGCAGTTTTTCAGATGGCTTCAAGGTCCAGGGACCAGATGCTCGAATCAAGGACAAGGCTGTGAGCCAGGTTCAGAGCGGTACAGCTGAGCACAGGCCACGCAATACTCCATTCATGGGCATCATGGACAAGACCGCAAGGTTCCAACAGCAGGGCAATCCTCCCAGCCGCACCTGGCACTGCCAGGTGGCAGAGGGGCTACTGACAAACACATCTGCAGCTGGCCTGCAGTCCTCTAACTCTGAGAAGCCTTCTCTCAAACCAGTGGGAGGGTATAACAACCAAGCCAAAACCTGTTCTGTTTCTACCCTGAGTGGAAGTATCCACAATGGGGCACAGGTAAAGGAGCTAGAAGAAAGCAAGTGCCAAATTCCAGTCCACTGTCAAGAGAACAGGGTAACTAAGACTGTTTCTCATCTCTATCAGGAAAGCATCTCTAAACAGCAGCCTCATATCAGTAATGAAGCCCACAGGAGCCACCTCACTTCAGCAAAGCCAAAGCGATCCTTTATAGAATCAAATGTGTAAGCCTTCAGAGAGAGCCATGGGTAGAATTTGGAAAACAGTATGTTGGCTCCTGGTTATAAGTAGTTGTTTTTTTCCATCAGAAAAATTACTTTTTAGCCATTTTTTTTTCTTTCCTCTGGGGGGGTGGATCCATACCATTGATATATTAAAAATGTGGGACAAAAACTTCCTTAATAATAGCTAAATAGCTAAAAGTCACTGTAAGTAAGAATGCTAAACAGAATTGAAAACAATAAGCTATACCTATCAAGTGAAACATTCAAGACAGCCAAGAAGACGTTAACTCATGCTTTTCTCTTATGGAATTATTTGGTTTTTATGACTTTTCTCCTAGCCTTTGCTATGTGGTGAAATCACAGTATTTACTTAGAGAATATGTCTATTATTAAAGAGTGATAGGCTTAACTTTGGCATAATATCCAAATGATACATTCTGGAAAAGATGGAATTGTCGAGTTATAGCTCCATTGAGTCAAATCCTAATTTTATATATATATATATATATAAAGACAAGTGATTTCCAGCTGAGTATAAATATGACTATAAACATAATATAGCTGATTTTTTTTTAAGCAAAATACAATAATATCCAAGTAATTGTTCCCTTCATAGCAGCTCTTTTAAGAGGATTAAACACTTACTATATATATATATATAAAGACAAGTGATTTCCAGCTGAGTATAAATATGACTATAAACATAATATAGCTGATTTTTTTTTTTAAGCAAAAAACAATAATATCCAAGTAATTGTTCCCTTCATAGCAGCTCTTTTAAGAGGATTAAACACTTACTTCCATGTTATGGTTCTTATTCAAAATATTTTTATAGCACCTTTTTTGGAACTATATTCATGCTTCAAGGTGTTTTTGATATTTGGAAACAGTATAAGCCATTCGGAATCATTATTGGTGGTCAAGTTAGATTTGAGCTAAAATGCTAAGACCAGCAATCTAAGTGGCTCTTATAAATTAGCTCTCAGCTAGTTCCAAAACTGTTTTTAGTAATGATAAGGCTCTTGGAACAAGCCTTCTGTCTGTTAAGGACAATATTTAATTTGGATACTTAAGGTATGGTTAGTTGTGGCTTTTGTTTTGTTGTACAATCATTAGTAGTCACATGTTGTATATATTAAATAGCCCAGTTTTATTCAGACTTGTAAATACAACTGTTTCAAAATAGTTAATGCAAAAACAAAAAGCAAATCCCCAATCATTTATTTGCATGTTCTTTGTAAGCTTCATCCATGCTGGTTATTGCACTGAATGACATATTATTGTGGCGTGTTAACATTATACCAGTAACAGCACTTTATCTCATTTATAGGAACACCTTTGAGGTGCTACTTAAGCCCAAAATGATGTATTATTCATTTGTAAAGATAAGGTACAGGATGAACCTTGGTTTAAAGGTATTTTTTATATGAAAATGGTGTGTTTGTGGAGGATGTTAAAATGCTAGTTTGAGGGAGGTGAGAGTATTTTGTTTTCTATGGTGGGATGTGAAACTTATTTTCTAGAATTGGGGGAAGGAAGTTCTATATTTGCAGAATGTTTTAAAAATAGTTGTAATGAAGTTCCTGTGAACATCATCATGGTTTTGTATGAATAGGAACCTTGTGATGTCATTCTTCAACATTTGTTCCTGAGTGTGTGTACAGTGTACTTTGTACAAACAGCTTTATCATTTTTTATAGGCTTTCCATGAGTTCTGCTATAACTACTATGGCTTATTTATTGTATGTTTTAATATTTGTGAAAGTCTTACCCTTTTGTTATGTAGTTTTGTTTCTGCACAACTACTGTACTTTTCCATATGGAATAAAGACTATTAATAGAATTTGTTTTGCATTCTGAGTCAATGGATAAGTAGAGAATATCCTGGTGACAATTATCTGCCTTGCCTTAATCCTTGTTGCCCTAAAGAAAATTGTGAGAAGCATATTTTGTATTAATACTACCAAATACATATTTAATTTTTTTTTTTTTTCTTTCCTTTTTTTGTCTTTTGTCGTGTCCGGCAACGGATCGCAACCCTCAGTGTTGCGCCCGCACCTCGCTCAGCCAGTGAGCGGGAACCGGTCTGTACGTGGGATCCGAACCCTCGGCGGGAGCGCCGCCGCACTCCCAAGCGGCGCACTGTAGCAGTGCGCCACCGGGCCAGCCCTTTAATTTCATTTTATAATCATTTCAGAATAAGAGTGACAGCTTCTAGAAATTCCAAATTATTCAAGGGTCAAAATTAGTCTTAGCCCTTTAATTTCATTTTATAATCGTTTCAGAATAAGAGTGACAGCTTCTAGAAATTCCAAATTATTCAAGGGTCAAAATTAGTCTTTTTGCCTGAAATAGGAAGAAAGCATGAAGAAAAGTAATCTACAATTTCTTATCTGTTTTTACTGTCAACAGGATATCTTTAATTATGTAACTCTCAAACACTTTTGCAATACACTGAACTCTGTTATGACAGTTTCTTCTTCAAAACATTTGTATCATCATCTTTCAGTTAAAAGTGTGTATTTGTCTTTGTGCCCACATATTTCCATTTCAAGGTAATGCAAATACGAGCGAACACTAAACTGTGTTGGGTCATGATAAAAATCTGACTTAGAATCTTAAGTCTGGTCACAGCTGTTGCTAGCAAGGCTAAGTTTTTTCAGTTATTTAAATATTTTTAAAAGGTTAAAAGGACACAAAAAATAAGTTTGGGCAAAGCAATTTAAAGTAAAAGTTTATTTCTATACAGCTTAAGATTTTTTTTCACTAATACAAAAAGGTTTTTATAGGAAAGACAGAAATGAGGTTGGATGTGTAACTTTGGTCTTGGTGTTTTAAAGAATCAATGGACAATTTTTATAGGTAACTAAATTTAAGAAGTTTCTTCCACTTCTGTTTTGCTTTTAATAATGTCTAATTAATATTTACCTTTAGATCATTCCAATGAAATGACTGAAAAAATAAACAGTACAAAATAAATTCTATTTTTGATGTGTCTCAAGCCATCGATTGATGCCTTTAGATCATTCCAATGAAATGATTGAAAAAATAAACAGTACAAAATAAATTCTATTTTTGATGTGTCTCAAGCCATCGATTGATGGCCATTTTCAGAGTCCTATTTGGCGTAAGTACCACTGAAGAAAGAACAAGGTTTGTCATGGGACTTGTGCGTTTCTTTTTGCTGATCCAGTTTTCCATTGCTTCCTTTTCATATGAATAGCCATCTAAAAAAAAATACACAAATTATTTGTGATGGAGGAAAAGTTAGGATTACTGAAATGAACTCAGTGTAAAAATTCTATTGCTGAAGCCTTTGTGATTTAAGTGGTTTTATGGTCTTCCCAAAATGTCTCTGTCAGACCACCTGAAATCCTGCCATTTGAGATGCATTAAGACTGGGCAGTACTATATGAAGCACAAATTATCTAAACATTATCGTTATAAGCTCTTAATACTTTATCTGATTCCTTTTGAAAACTACAACTGAGACCAGGACCCCCCCAAAACTCAGACATGGTGGAAGAGAAGAAAGGAAAAGAAGCCTTTGAAATAACTCAGCAAAACTTGTCAATACATTGAAAAGTCAGGGAAACATACCTACAGATTATGGAACTTGTCCCACCAAGAATTTGACAGTAAAGGGATTTCAATGCAAAACACAAAAAGCACTATGGTTTTTTTAGTACTTTGCCCTTTGCCTTCACACATGTAATGACTTTTTGCTTCATTATTTTCATTTTTATATTGTAGTTCTTTTCTCTTAAGCTGAAAATCTTGGTTCCTAAGTACATTTACACATGAACTTATTTGCTTTAATAAATAAGCATAGAATTGTTTGAAAATAATGCCAGTACATTGCCAACGTAAGACTGGAAGAAATTTAATATTTCTTTGTGGTTCTTTCTGTCATCAGGTAACTCTACTAGGGTATTCTAACTGAAACACTGTTTGAAAATCACAATTACGTAGTTTCAAAGTAAAAACTAAAAAAAGGTACATTCAGAGGAGTCTATTCTATTTCTGTCTAATCCTTGTTCCCGCCCCTTCTGAAATAGATAACTAGGTATATCAGTTTTTACCTTTTTCTTTTTGAAAATACATGCAAATACATGTATACACAACAGCATATATACATTCTGCATAAAAGCGAGCATACTATATATACACTATTTTGCAACTTGGTGTGTTTAAAATTTTTTACCAGGAGAAATTGTTAAAGGGCCACAAAAAATGTTTACATTGTGTAATGACAATATAAAAAAAATTTCTCCCACAGTATTCCACTGTATGGATGTATTGGTGGACATTTGGGTTGTTTCCAATCTTTGCCTTTTACAAACAGTGCTTCCATGAACTGTCTTGTGCTTGTGTCACCTGTATTTTCAGGAGATTCCAGAAGGAAGATAGCTATATCAAAGAGTAAATTTATATAATCTTACTAGATAGTGCCAACTTCCTTCTATAGGAACTCTACCATTTTTCATTCCTACCAGCAGTGTTTGAGAATGCCTTTTCCCTACAGCCTCACCAATAGAATACATTGGCAAACTCTTGGATTTCTACCAATACCTAGGTAAGCAGTGGTATAGTACTGTCTGGTATAGAACTTTTTTTTTTTTTTATGTTTGAGCCATTTGTTTTTCTTTTTACTGCAAATTATTCTTTTTTTTTTTTTTTTTAAAAGATGACTGGTAAGGGGATCTCAACCCTTGGCTTGGTGTTGTCAGCACCAGGCTCAGCCAGTGAACCAACTGGCTGTCCCTATATAGGATCCGAACCCGTGGCCTTGGTGTTATCAGCACCGCACTCTACCGAGTGAGCCAAGGGCCGGCCAAATTATTCATATTTTTTGCCCACTTCTCTATTGGGTCATCCTTTTTTTAACTTGGGAAGATTTATTTCATATATATGGAATATTAACACTTCAACTTTTCTCGAGTCCTGTTTAGGAAACTGATGGATTTTGGATCCGACTGGCACCACTGTGCACACAATAAGCACAAAATAGCCACTGGCCTTGTCTTCCACTCCAGCACCAAACCCCTCCCCACTTCCCTTTACAAGAAGCCTCATGAGTTAAACAGAAATCCTTTTGCTTCTGCAAGGGCGCAATTCTCCACCCTGGTTGCATAGCTTCCACATTAGCCAAAGAGCTACCACTTTACAGCAAATGTCTCAGCTCCAGATAATTCTAGACTATAAAATGATATGATATAAAATAAAATAAAACTCTTCAAATTATTTTAGGGAGCAAACAGCATTAAAAACAAAACCTAATTTGGTTAGCACTCACGTGCACACACACACACACACAAAACTAAAAAATTTAATTAAGGTAAATAAAAGAAACCAGCAGTACACTGAAATAATAGTTCATTATGGAATAATAGTTCATTATGGCAAAATGTAATGTAGTATTACATGTGATTGTTTGAGATATACTTCACATCTATAAAATTCACCCTCAGGTATAAAATTCATCAGCTCTTGGTATATTTCAGAATATTTTCTTCACTCCATAAAGAAACTGTACCCATTAGCAGTCACTACTCCTCCCACACCCCTCTCTACCCCTGGCAACCCCTAATCTTCTTTTCGTCTCCATGGATTTGCCTGTTTTGGACAGTCCACATAAAAGGAATCATACAATATGTGGCCTTTGGGGTCTGGCTCCTTTCACTTAGCATGTTTTGCCAAGGTTCATCCATGTTCTTGTATAAATATTTGTTCCTCTTTATGGCCAAATATTCTATGGCTTTTTTAAATCCATTCCTCCACTGGTGGGCATTTGGGATGTTTCCACTTTGGGGCTATTATCAACAATGCTGTACAACTTTCTGTATGAACATTTGTTTTCAGTTCTCTTGGATACAGACTTCGAAGTGGAATTGCTGGGTCACATCATAACTGCTTAAATTTTTGAGGCACTGCCAAACTGTTTTCAACAGCAGTCACATCTATTTACATTCTCATCTGCAACATATGAAGGTTGCAATTTCTGCACATCTTTGCCAACATTTATCTTCTAACTTTCTAATTCTACCCATTTTAGCAGGTATGATATGGTTTCTCCTTGTGATTTTGATGCGTTTCCCTAATGACTAATGATGCTGAGCATCTTTTCAAGTGCTTATTGGCCATTTATGTATGTTCTTCAGAGAAAGGGCTATTCAAATCCTTTGCCTATTTCTTAATTGAGTTGTCTTACTGTTGAACTGTAAAAACAGTTTGAGTAGGAAAATATAATCAATTTTATTTATATAGTACCATCATACTGGCCTATTACTGATTAATGATGTGCATGTTAGTTTTACTGCCAAATACTGTGACCTCAATAACAGCTAATGTATTTGCTACCAGGCAAGATAAATCTGATAGCATGTTTTTAACCTTCCAAGTAAAAGATTTCTTAGTTACATTCCAATGAAATGACAATGCTGTTTGTGTTATTTCTGGTGGTGGTTTGTGCTTAAATATTAATATTTATGAATGTCCCATGTATGTTCAGAAAGGTGTACTTTCTGTTTTGAAGGTTCAGAATTTGATATATTACTAACTTTTTGTCTTTAATCTGTTTGGACTGAGAATGATCAAGTGTATTATTACTGTACTGTCTTTCTCCTTATACCCTATAGTTTCTGCTTCATGAAAGTTGTTGCTTTGTATGGGTACCTAGCTACTACTAATGGTTAGCTTCACTGAGAGTAAGAGTCTTCAGTATTATACAGTATCTTCCTTTGCCTCAATTCTATCTTCCCTGACAACAAGTATGTGCCTCCTTCTTTACTTTTAGTTGAAACTATCTTGTTTTAGGTTGGATGGCACAGTTAGATTATGCTTTGTTAACCTCAGAATCTTTTACTTTATATATATGACTTACTGAAATTTTAAAGAATGATAAATTCTCTCACTATGGGAGCTGGTTTCATAAATTTCTTTTGATGCCTAAGAAGTTTTGTAATTTTGATCTACTGGTTACCTTCATGCTAATAATATTTTTTAAAAGAAGGGACCAAGAATATCATTAATGTCATTTAATCTTTTTATCTCCCCCAGTACCTAAAATTTCAAATAGGCTTTTACTTAATAATCAGCTTATTCAACTTTTCATATTCCCTACTCTCCATTTTTTATAGTTATATTATATTCTACATTGTCAGAACATACAGTCATTACATAGTATTTTGTCACCTTTAGTTGAACGCCCTTTTTTCTTTGCCAGGGTGTCAGTTTCTTGGGTGGTAGCAGTGAATAAAATGTCAAATCCTTCACTCTGCAGAGGTACAGGTTTCTTTCCATAGGGAACTCAGTTATACTGGCCACAGTTTGGCCAGAAGTTTAATATGAGTTTCCACTGGTGACAAATGTACTTCAAAAAGTTCATGGAAAGATAACATGAATCTTTCCACAGACTTTTTGAAATACCCTTGTAGAAACCAGGGAGTATGTTCCCCATACATAAAAACACTATGAAAGCTCTAGAGAAAAAGCAAAGTGGTTAGATTTGGTTTTAGTAGGTTTTTATATCATGAATTATAAGTGTGAATATTGATTTTTCTAAGAAGTTCATTTAAATGTTCAGAATAGACCTGAAAAGAAAAAAAAAAGACAATATATGGAATAACTGACTGGTGCAAATCTAATTTCTACTCCTTACCCCATCCCCCCATTAACATTTTGATTGTAATTACCAAAACCTAAAAACTAAGTATCAAAAAGATTTTCTTTTGTAACATAAAATGACCAGCTAATTTTTTAAAAGATTGAAAGTGAACATAATTAAAACAACTTATATTTAAATAGACAAACTAAAACTTTGAAATAAAGCAGTTCCTATCGGTATTAAGAATTTGTCCAACAGTAATATTTATGCAAGTACACTTGTATATACTGTATGACTGAGGATGTTTTCTATAGAAACATCCTTGTTACAGGTGAGTAGCAAGTTGGCAAAAAATGGAAAAAGATGTCAACAGGGTAAGAGTTAATTTAGGGCACATGCATACCATGAAATACTATCCCACAGCTGGGAATGAAGTAGTTCTGAATATACTGACAAGAAGCACTCTGAGACATTGTTGAGTAACTTTCTAAATGTACGTATCATATCCCAATTGTTACAGAACAACAGTATATTGTATAGAAAAATATCTTGAAGGATACACCTAAACCATATCAGTAGCTGCACCATAGTACAGAAGAGCCTCTATATTTTTAAAATACG